AGGTTGTTTACCACGACAGTAGAAGTGATTTTTTTTTTCTGAAGATATGGGTAAACAACGCGATTTAACAGCCTTTGAACGTGGGATGATTGTTGGTGCTCAGAGCCATGAAGCGAGTATCAGCAAAACAGCCGAATTCGTTAAAAGTTCAAGAGCAGCTGTTGTTAAAGTATTTAAAGACTGGACTGTCAGACGAAAATCTGGGTCTGAACGTGCGAATTGTGGCCGTCAGCGACTAGTCAATGTTAGGGCAGAACAGAGAGTGGCAAGACTGGTACAAGACAACAGAAGGGCAACAGTGCAGTGTCAGATTCCTCGCATCACCTTTCAACATCTCGTGGAGTCACGAGGCGGCCCAACAAAGTCATCTCGTGGAATCATCTCGTGGCCCAACGAAGTACTGATGGGCTGGTCTTAATAATCTGGCCACTCAGTCTACAAGGCCCTCAATTGGTGGGTCCACAATATTCCACAGTGTAGATAATCTCTATTGGCCACACAAGTGTTTGCATTGCAATGTAGGTAGCTGGAGGAAGGATTAATCTGCCAGGAAAGACAATACCAATTAGACAATGCCCAATGCTCTGGTAAGCCATATGATGAATCGGAGACGTCTTCTTTATGCCGATCGCCTGTATGAAAATGTATGTTTATACTATTACACAAATATAAAATGAGATTTCCACTTAGAACCTGCATCGGTCAGCTGTTTTATAATAAGCAAAAAAGTTGCTTCAAGGTCACTACACTCCTTGCACTTGAAAGGAGTCAATGTGATGACGAAAGCCAAGCATCTTAGAGAGCTGCAGAGGCATAAGAAGACTGTTCTGCATTGCAAACAGATCATAGGCAAGGGGCTCTCTGCTGAACTTATAGCGAGGAATTCCCCCCTTGTTTGTTAAAAGTGAGAAAGCCCCTTTAAATCATTTCCAACTAAGAGTTGTGGAATTTTTTTTTACTATAATAGGGTTAGGTTATGTGGTCATTCCAGGGGAGCTCATATACCTACACCTTAATACAGGGCTCAAAATTTCAAATCTTGAGCTACTAGCCAGGCCTTAAAAGTTACTCGCCACCAGTTGCGCCACCTAACCCCTACCCTGCCCCGGCCTTAACTCTGCCAGGTCAGCGGTGTGATGCAGAGTACAGAGATCAGTAACAACGCACAGTACAGAAGTCAGTGGTGCGATGCCGAATACAGAGGCCAGCTGTGTGACGCACAGTACAGAGATCAACAGTACAGAGGTGAGTAATGTAACACAGTGCAGAGGTTAGCAGTATGATTCACAGTACAGAGGTCAGTAATGTAACGCACAGTACAGAGGTCAGCAGTGCAGAGGTCAGTGTGACGCACAGTGCAGAGGTCAGTGTGACGCACAGTGCAGAGGTCAGTGTGAAATCCTCAATGTACCGAGATAAAACTTTATTTTCCCTAACTTTTTGACCAGGAGTCTCACTGTCTCTGCAATCTTCCTCCCAGCCTATGGCAGCTGAGGTGGGCGGAGGAAGCTGCAGAAGATAGCCGAACTGAATGTCATCGAGGGCTCTGTAGCTGCAGCTATAGAGGAGGAGAAGAGAGAATAGAAGCGATCGCCGCGGCGGTAGTGTCCCATCCCTGGTCCTGCCGGCGGCGCACCCCCTCGATGACATTCTACTTGCCCCCACGCAATTTTCACTCACCAATTGCGAGGGGGCAGGTGGAAATTTTGAGACCTGCCTTAATACATAGCTAGAAAATGTACATGTTAACTGTTTTATGTGCCAAAAGAATTGTAGTTCTATTCAGCCAGTCTTGTAATCTGGGCATCCCTGCCATACTATTTAGCCTGCCCCTATTGTGTATTCAAGCTTTCTTTGTCATTTGCTTTCTCATTGGACAATGAACCAATATATAATCACAGTACTGATTAATTGTCCAGTGGGCAGAGCTGACATCAGGATACGAATATAGAATAATGAAGGGGTTATAACAGAACTTTCATTTGCTCACCATTTTCCATGGTGTCAGCTGGTGGCTGAAAGTGGTCTATTAGGCCATGAAAGGAGCACTTCGCTGTTCAGGAAAAAAAAAGGTATTTTTTTCCAGATTTAAATATTTTAATTATGTTTTTGCTATTCATGTAGTACAGAGTCTGATCTTCGGTTTTAAAGTTTCCCATGAGTTCCTTTTTTTTCCCCTACATTGCTTTTATCTTGTGACATTACATTACAGCCAGACATAATTAGACGATCATACCAGGCAGAGTGGTTCAGCAAAGCAATTTCATTTCTGCCTATACATATTTTGGCTTGGCAGTATACCAAAGCTGTTATCATAAAACTGTAATCTCACATATTAGGGTTTTTTGTAAATGTTAAATTAGAACCTTAATTATTATTTTATCCATTTTCATAAAACGTAATGGAGAAGGAGGTAAACCACATCCTATTATAGTCCGTAATCCCATATACAGAGCACTTAGAGATCATGCTTGTAGCAATGAAGACTTGTTCCCTGTCATGGTCTAGTCATGTCTCTGACGTGTGTGGTTTCTTTGGAAAACCCTAAGAACCACATTTTTCATCTGTGGCCTACAGCCGAGTACAATCATAACAGAGCTGAGCGCAAGTAACAAGAGTTTGCAGAAGAACACTCAGCAATTTGTGTTATTTTAACATCATTTGATGGTGAATTATAGTGCAAAAAAATCAATAGCCTGGAGTAGGGATCTTCTGATATGGATTTTAGATATCGATACTGATTTATTGGCCACCTTTCAGGCCGATAACCGATATCGGGTACCAATATTCTGTTTACATTCAGCTGCTAGTCACCTGACATCAGTCAACCCTGTTTTTGTTTTTTGTATTCTGACAGCAGCCAAAGGAGAACTTCAGGTCCACCTCTGCTGATTGACAGCAGCGCTGGGTGGGTGCAATACCCAGCCTGCTATTGAAATAGACAATAGCAGCCTAGCTATTTATTCCTCTGCTCTTTGTTGGGTTTTTTTTTGTACTCTGATGGCGGCCACCGCTGTCAAAATACTCTAACAGGGCGGGCAGCTCAATGGCTGCCAGCCTCTGTCTGGCTTCTTCCATCAACTGATCAAGGTATGCTGGCCAGAGAGCGGCACTCACTGTGCAAATTTCGGCCAGTTCCTCAAGAGCCAGCTGAAATTTGCACTGAGTGTAATATCAGTCACTTTGACCAATACCGATAATTAAAAAATCTGTGAATAACCGTCCAGATTATCGGTAGATCCGATAACCGGTCAACCCCTAGCATGGAGATATTGAGTGGACACAGCCTTCCTGCCCCGGACCCCTCACTATGTAACCGCATAACATGATGACTTATGTGAGGCTGTAGGCCAGGGGTTCCTCTCTGTGCAGCTTAGATATGCCAATTTACTCCAATGCATCTGCATTTATTTATTTTTTTTGATGCTTCAGGGAGGTGTAGGGCCTATAGTGAGGCAGTCTAAGGCTGTTGCTTCAGGCGGCATCTCTTTGGGTTATGTGGGTCATGAGTGTGCTTGCTGCCCCCCTTCCGGCCAGAGCGTGCACAAGGACCATACACATCTCACCGCTCAGCTCAGAGCTTAGCGGGATGTTGGCCAGAGTGTCCCAGTTTGCTAAGAGCTGTGCAGGGAGATGCAGAGCCCTTACACAGGTCCCCGCCCGGCTCTTAGTAGTGTCACTCTTCTCTCCACCAGTGCACCCCCCCCAACACACACACACACACACACACACTGATTGTGCACCATCCAGCAACACAACCCCCACCCCTCGCTTCCCCCAGACGGCAAAAAGACTAGGAACACCCCTGGGTAGGTGCATATTTAGGCACTGCACAGCACAGATTTTAACAAGCACTATTATAAACCATGGCAAGCCTGTGCACATGCATTAACAGATGTCTAAACACATAGGTATGAATGGGCCCTAAAAGCCAACTGTAAGATTTTTCTTTAATTTTGGATAGCGTGCAGGAAACCTAAAATTTCTATCAGATTTATTTTTCTGTCTATAACCCAATGAGGGAGCCTCTGCCACACTTCATGTTCCTGTAACCCCTGTGCAAGAAAGGGGGGGTGCGGTAGTCAACGAGACAGAAATTCATGTACAGCAATAAAACCATTGCTATACAATATAACCCGTGGCTGGAGCTGGGGTAAATCATTGAGAAAGACTTGAATAATACCACTGCACCCTCCCCCATTGTAATCTGCTGGCAGAATTTCATGCACATAAATGTAGATCTGAGGGGGCAGGTAGTGTGGGATCACTGGCGAGAGGCTGCAGTCATAAGGGCCCTTTAAAACCATGCTTAGTCTTGCTATGTATAAATCTCTAAGGGCCGATTCACTCCCATGTGGTCCATTTAATTGAGGCATTCCATTTAAATAAATGCCAAATTGGACAAGCATCATTTTTTTTCAGATGGAGCATTGTACATTACAATGCCTTGTGGTGGACTGTAACGCATGTGATTCGAATGTGCATTGCCTTAGTGCGATGGAATGCCATTGAAAATCAATGGCACTGCAGCGCTATAAGCACTTATTCCCCTTCCCCCACAGTATATTCTGCAGTTGATTGTCTGGAATCTGATGACCGACAGAACTGATCATTTTTGTAAAGAGACTGAATGTCCTTAGTTAAGCCCTGTGCTTCTTTGTAAATACCATTTCTTTTTTTGCCTGCATGCTTTCCAGAGTACAAATATCCGGATTCACTGGTTCACATTAATAATGACTTCTGATACATCGATGACAATTCTATTTAGCCCTGTTCCTTGTAGATAGGTAATGTATTTTTCTTATGCTAGGCATTTATTTGGGCACACAGAACCTCTAATTTGTAGCATTTTGTGCTTCTTCGGGCCATTAGGTGCGTTCTGATTCCAAAATGGCAACACGTTTGTATGTATAATGGACCCTCCGGATTTATTATAAACATGTTGTGATAACTTGACCTTAAATAACGCATGATACTACCTTGTTTTTTTTTCTTTCCAGACACACATTTCTCGGCTTCCTCCAGGCGCAGTCGCTGGCCAGTCTGTAGCTATTGAAGGTGGAGTATGCAGGCTGGAAAGCTCTCTCGGCTGAACTACATGCTTCCCTGGCTGAAGATTCCACCCAAAAAAATTTAGTTGGGGGTGGTGAATGCAACTAGCTCACATCCATGGCCCTGCTCACATGATGCACCTTTTTGGATAAACTGCACTGTGCATATTCTCTTCCTCCTCTCCTGCTGTCTGTGCTTGTGTGAGCAAATTGTGTGTGAGCAAATTCTCTGGATACTTACGTCATATTGTACTCACCCATGGCTTAGGCAGCTGGCTGTAGGGAACCTGGAGTAAGAAGTGCTTAGTGTAGGACTTATAAGATGGTAGCAAGCTCCACCCCCATCATAAAAAAAATTGGTTGAAGTTTTCATTTAAGCATCTGATTCTTTGACACTTATAACTCATTCATTTAAACATCCTTAACGTTCTCCAACCTCTGCTTGTCATCCTGTCATTGTACAACATGCACTGTATTATCTGAACAGCATGCAGCTGTGTAACCTGAAGTCTTCTATTGTGCCACTGTGCTGGCTTCTCCCTAATATGCCTGCTTACATTAGACTTCATTCAACTGTCAGTAGTTTTTGGACTTAGTGTGAATATTATACTTCTTTCTCTAAAGATTTGTTATTTTGTTTCCAAAGTATAGTGTCTGCTTACATATTTGATAGTATATGTTACCCGATGATATTTTTTCTCAGTGATAGAATATTGCCTTTTCTTCCCTTTAATCTTATAGCTGTCATGTAGATACATGTAAAGAATGTGCGTACAGTGAAGGGGAAAGGTTTCATCAAATATAATTTTTTTTCCTTATATTTCTTGGGTGGTACATATAAAGAAGGCCTTTGCCAAAGACTATTCATTTTGTCCAGAGAGGAGGATGATAGACTAGCCTGTGTCCATGTGTAAATTGCTGCCTTGCTGTGAAGAGACAGCTCTTTACAGTTGCTCTGACAATCCCCAGGATTAGCGGAAAGGCCTGGATCTAAGGTGGTACAATTCCTGCCATCAGTAGATTTTATTATTTTATCTTCCTATTGTGAGCTTTCAATTGTAAAACAGGTAAGCAGAATAATCAATAGAGGGCTGAATTTGTTCTCCTGAGGGCTTCACTTTTAGGGAAATAGTGGGGCACTTTAGGGATTAACATGCCAGTTAGGTCATCATTAAATACATGGCAACCGATAGAATTAATGAGATTATTGAAGATTAATTTTTACGTTAAGCCTGTACTGAGACAATTTAGAGACTACCGCTGCTGACCTCTCCTTCTGAAACTGCTTGTTGCTTGGTTGTCACGCTGGTCCATTGGCTTCTATACTTGGTATATCCAGATTTCAGACTCTACTCCGACTTTCTAGTCTGCATGCTCGTTCCAAGTCAAAAAGAAGTCAAGAGAAAGTCCATGCAGGGGAACCTTTATGTTGGAACTTGACTATCATACTAGATCAGTGGTGGCAAACCTTGGCACTCCAGCTGTGCCAAAACTACAAATCCCAAGATGCATCTGCCTCTGGGAGTTATGTCTGTGGCTGTCAGAGCCTTGCAATGCCTCATGGGACTTGTAGTTCCAAAACAGCTGGAGTGCCAAGGTTCGCCATCACTGCACTAGATCTATAAAAGAGTATAGTTTACCCACATACTTGTCCTCCAAATCCTCCGCCCAAGCAGTCTTTTTAAATGGCACTTCTTTTTTTTTTCAAAATCTCATATAATTTATAGCAGCAGTAGCTATAGTTCTACAGTCTTAGAATCTTCCTCTACATGTTCCTGCATTAAAGCTGACTCCAACAAAAACTTTTTAGTTTTGGTTGGTGTGAGGCATAGTTTCATCCCCCACCAGGTCTGCACTGCGGTCTTGGATCCAGGCAGCGAGATCTTTCCCTTAGTCTGTCTGACACTTAAGGTTCCCCTATATGAAGCATATCCTGGTTCCCCTCTCTGACCTGCATTCTTCATATATTCCTATGGAGAAGTCACTAGACAGCTGGCAGTATGGAAAGCCATAGGTATATTTTGGCACATCATAATCCTAGCCCCCTAGAATAGTCTCTTTAGGAAAATATGGAAAATACACTCCAATGGGTGGACCAGGAGGTTTAGTATCCATCTGAGCCAGGGATGGACTTGGCATCTCCCAGCAAAGGTCACCAGTAGAGACTTGATGGTGGCCAGTGACAAAAGAGTTTTGGGTGGGGCTCTTCTTTTAAAGTAGCAACCTAAAATGTATTTTACTTACATATAAAAATATATAATTGTGATATGCATTTATGTTTGAGTCATATATAAAATGATGTGAATTGTACACAGTATTTTCATAATTCAAAACCTTAGTTGAGTCATTTATGAAGTATGTTCAGATCTACATTATATTTTAGATGGGCTTCCAGGCAATCAGTGAACTAATATAGAATGTTTACTAGTACATCTGATAAATATTTCACTTGTCCATGAATATTTTCTGTAAAGGAGGAATCACAAAGTACTGTAGTAACAGTGTATAAAGTAAACAAAGGCTGTGTACTGTAAACAGAATATAAACCACTCTTTTCCTTGTTTAAATATTTTTTTTAAGATTGCAAATAAAGTCACCTATTAATAAACATTTTCCTCTGCGTAGTCTGTCATTTCATTGCATTTTTGTTTGGTTTTCAACAATGCAGCACTGGGCTTCCCTTTTAAAAAAAAATGATACAACATATAGAATTGCTACACGGGGCATTGTGAAATGTAAAGGGACACTGGCATTTTGCCCATTCATGGCAAAGGGACATTGTGAGTATAACTCAGCGGTGTATTTACAAATGCTGCTGCCCTAGGCAAAACAAATACGCCCCTGGTATAACTGGGGCAAGAGGGCTTTAGAAACGCACTATCACTTTGCCCTGAAGAAATAGAGTCTCTTTAATGATATTAAAGATTGTTATCCCTTTTAATTTGCTTTGAACCCTTGCAACAGTGGAGGCATTTTTTTAATAGAATCTGTTTGTCTAACACAAAAATTGTCCTCCCCGTTTGTATGTTTGGCTCAAAACTACAACTGTATGACTGATCATGTTCTTATAGCAGGCCTCACACCCAGCACTCCCACATCCTTTATTCAAGTTAGTGTAATGGCCGGGCTATACAGAAAAGTGTTTATCAACTCCAGTCCTCCAATATGCCCAACAAGCCATGTTTTAAGACTTTCCTTCACCATGCATATGTCATTTACTGGCTAGTGCTAGCTTGGGGATTGTCAGAGGAAAATTCACACAACGTGACCTGCCAGGGGGATCTTAAGGACGAGTTGAGAGTTTGATCTAGAGATCATAAGTTAAGAATCTGTAATAGTTGTCCAACATTCTTGCAATTTTTAGCTTTATGTCCTGAAGAGGATTTCTTTGTAAACAAAAGTGGAGTTTGGTTTAAAAAATACACATAAGACCAGGATAGGGGATCATTTTTGTGGCCAAGGTTGGGGGAGGCACTTTGGTAGGAGGAGTTTAATGTTTACCTAACCTTTAACCACTGATCAACCTACCCTCTGTAACCTGTGACTATAACCTGTCAAAACCTACCAGGCCCTAAAGGTAACTTCAGCTATTATTATTATTATACAGGATTTATATAGCGCCAATAGTTTGCACAGCGCTTTACAATATAAGGAAGACATTACAGTCACAATACAATTTAAGACAAGATGGTAAGGAGGGCCCTGCCCATGAGGGCTTACAATCTAAAAGGGAGGGGCAAGTGATACATGAGGAGGTAGCTGCGCGGGGATGATTGTTTGAGAAAGTGATTGTTCAGTGGTTAGGTTGAGGTGGGATAGGCTTCCCTGAAGAGATGAGTCTTAAGGGATCGCCTAAAGGCAGTACAGAGAGTTAAAAGTGGAAAAGCTATAACTCTAACCTAAATCTAAGCTGCTAAGCCCATACCCTTAAGGGGATGGGTGGGTGTCCTTGGCACTTGTCAATTTTGCTTTCAAGAAGAGACAAGTGGCAAGATCATTGCTATGCAAACATGACACTTTTTTGCCAACTTTGTCATACTTATGCATTCCTTCGTGGTTTTGTTTATCACAAAATGTTGTTATATTTTTAAAATTAACAATTTAGAAATCTTAATTGAATAACTGCTGTCACATCCTTCCATTCTGCACAGTCTCTGGGCTGTCTTTGACAATAGAGTTCTCTGTCTGGTCCAAACTTCAAAGGAAATTCACACATTCTTCATGCTGTGTAAAAGTCATGAGAAGAGCCCTTTGAAGTTCTTAACAGGTGCAATACCACCGCCTTTACTGCAGACCAGAACCCCAGCACAGCCACAATCTTTTTTTGATAGCAGTCAGAAAACTGACATGAATTCTAAAATGATAACAGTAGCTAGCTGTTCACAATTATTTAACTAGCTAACTGCCCCTCATCTGAACAAAAATCCCCTTTTCCCCCTCTACATGTGTGGATCTGTATTGTACGTACTTTTTACATTAGCTAAATTATGTTTCTTTTGCTTTCCCTGTAGGTTAAGTATTCCCACATATTTTAGACGCTAGTAGAAAGAAAGAGGTATATTGGTCAACTGCTACTAGTCAAATTATTTTTCATTTAATTTTCTAGCATACAGATGTTCCTCGCTTACCAACTTACCTGTTTTGCGACCACTCGCACTTACGACGGACCGCCGATCGACCTCCGGCCTTGCGCATCAACGTCAGTGCGCCGTGTCGCCAGCGGAAGTGGTGTCCTCCGATCTTCACTGCGGGTCCCGGTAAGTATTTTCATTGCCCGATGTACAGTACACTGTTCGGTACTGTACATCGGCAACGCTATACAGTACTGTACTAATGCAGTACAGTACTGTATAGAGTTCCTCACTTAACGACCAATTCGTTTAACGACCTGGTCGTAGGAACGGAACTCGGTCGTTAAGTGAGGAATACCTGTACTACTGAAACATGATTGGAATTGGTTGTTATGGACAGCAGAACATTCCTGCACCCAATCTGTATATTCACCTTCCCCAGCTCGATGTCCCATGCTGTGGAAATACATTAATAAACATGTTCCAATTGAGAGCCACCAGCTGACACTTTGCACAAATGGTGGCTCTTAGTAGTAGCTGTTACTGACGACTCCAGTCTCCAATGATGATCGAGAGCGAATGTGAGTCAATCCTGGTCATGTGTTCTCTATGTCATCTATGACATTGT